TGGCCTCCCGCACCGGCTCCCGCACCGTGGGCGCACGGGCCCGCTGGGGTGTCAGCCGCAGGCAGCGGCGAGACCCCCGAGGTGACTGAAAGGAGAGCGTCTGGGCTTTCTCTCCGCTCCCATCGAGGTCCGGACCGGAGCCCCGGTGCAGAGCAGTCCGCCCAGAGCCCGCAGCACCCCGGGCTCAGATCCCTCCGCTGTCACGCCTCCCCCCGCCTCGCGCTGAGCTGGTGGGAGCCGGCTCAGGGCGGGGCGGCTCCCCGCGGCTGAAAGCCAGGCTCCCCAGACCCGAGGCTTTCCAGCAGCACGGCCACCAGGTCGCGAAGGCGCGACGCACCCCCAAAGTGCTAGAAATGCAGCTGTTCAGGCCAGCCCAGGCTCAGGACACCTGGGTCTCCTGGGGGGCCCCTTCTCCAGGCGATTCTGGTCCCCACTCAGGCCCAGCGAGGGAGGCCAGGGCCTTAGGCTCCCCCAGACGGCAGGCGAGGGCGAGGTGGGGGTGGGGGAGGCGGGGCTGCCTGTGCCCCAGTGGGCAGGTGGGCCGGGGCAGCCCCCCAGCAGCCCACAGGGGACACGGGGCCTGGGCGCTCTGCCGGGCGCAGCCCTGCGGCCTCAGGGACGCCAGCCCCTCCCGCAGGTACAGGAGCCGCCTCGAGCGGCCGCGTGCACTGGAGCGTGTCAGCGTGTGTTCAGAGCTGTCTGCGTCTTGTCTCGTATCCCCTGTGTCAGTCCTGCCGGCTCCATGTCCCCCCAAACTCAGCAGCCACCCAGCTCCCCGAGTGGCACCCGGGAGCACAGAGACTGGAGAGTGGAAACCAAGTCTGTCATCCGTGTTTCTCCTGGACGACGGCGGCGGCCCTGGCGGCTGTAAAGCTCCCGCGGCCACAGCAGCGGCCCCCACCCAGGCTCCAGGCCCGCGCAGGCTGCGGCAGGGAGGGCGCGACGTGGCGCCCTGGCCCCTCCGAGGCGGGCGGCCCAGCCCATGAAGCTCAGGCTAGCGGGACGGGCAGCTTAGGCTGGAGAAGGCCCCAGGCTGTGGATTCTGAAGGATGAAGGAACAGACCAGGGACACTCTCCCGGGTTGAGGGACCTGGGGCATCACGGGGGGAGGGGGGGTTCACGTGACAGACAGACAGAAAAAGGGGGCCTCATCCTCACCCTGAGAATAAAGACGAGACTGAGCCGGAGAGAACCCGGGTGCGGGTCGGCCTGCAAACGACATTCTTCTAGATCAGAAGCTGGGGAGCAGGGGAGCGGAGGAGGCCCTGACCACCTCTTCTTTGATTAGGGAAGGAGGAGAGAAGGAAGGTCGCAGGCGAGGACAGGGCCGCCCCCCGCAGGCACCCTCGGCTCTGGGCTCCAGTCTGCGCACCCAAGGGGCGTCTTGAGGAGAACCCTCACTGCGACGTGGGCACGCGGACAAACCCCCGAAGGATGCGTTTTGCAGGATGTACCCACGTCGGCGCGTGAGACCGTACCTTGAGTTTTTCCTTGTATCTGACACGTGAGACCCTGTGCCACCTCGCCCAGCTGAGACCTGTGCCACCTCGCCAGCGCCAGCCCCGCTGGGTTTAAGGCTGAGGGCGGGACCGGACTCACGTGGATGGCCTGGTTGACGGTGCAGGTCCTGCGGACGAAGGCTTTCCTTAGCAACGCCTTGTCTTTCCTGGCGATCAGGACTGAAGAAAGAAGAATTTATAACAATCCCCAGACTTTACAGATTTTCTATCGTTGTTATAAATAGGTGTCATGCACCCAAAGGGATTCCAGATACACTACTGCTATTTATTTGTAAAATAAAATTCAATAAAAGGTACCGGCGTGAGGAAGTCTGTTCACGCATGAAGAGGCGCGGGGGGCGGCTGGGCCTGGGCTGCCCGCGCGGTGGGGCCCTCAGGACCCGAACGCCAGCCCGCGGGGCCCTGGGCACTGGCGCTGGCTGCAGCAGGGACTGGAGTCAGAATAGGGGACAAATGATATCTCCGAGGGGCCATTCATCAACCACACGCAGGTACCTTGATTCGTGAATAATTTTCAAATGATCCCCGGAGTAAACATTCCCGGCCGGCAGAAGCAGCTGCCGGCCTCTGGAACTGCAGGCTCAGTCTGGGGTCCACGTGCTTCTGAGTGGACCCTGCACCCCGCGTTCCCAGCCCCCTGCCAGGCTCCGACACCCTCCTCACAGAGGGGGAGCGTGGGCACAGATGGGCGACGCTGAGGTGATGTGTGGCCTGTGTAAGAAACTGGGTCTCTGCTCCCACCTCTCTGCTCCTGCTCTAGCCCCTCAAGGGACTCTGGAGCCAGGAGCCAGGAGCCAGCCAGGGGTCTTTGCCATGTCAATGAGGCGCTTGGGAGGCTCCTTCCGGTGTGGGCTGGGAGATCACCCCTGAGGGTGTCTCCCCGTGGCTGTGGGCACCCCGCTCCACAGAGGGCTGCCTCTTCCAGGCCGCCCTGGCCTCCCAGGCCTGGTCCTGAGGCCGGTCACCTGCCAGTCGTGCCCCAGTAACGGCCTCCACGGAACCCACGAGGGCGGGGTTCGGAGCTCCCGGCTGCTGGGCATGGAGACTTGAGCGGGGGGTGCCCCGTGCCCTGTCCCCGGGCCTGGCCATCCGGCCGATCCCGAGTTCTGTCCCTTCACCGCGGTCCAGGAGCCTGAGAGCAGGCTGGGCCTGATTCCCGAGCCGCTCGGCCAGGGGCCGGGCTGGGGAGGTGCGGGCCTCTGGTCTGACCAGTGGGTCAGAGGCGTGGCTGGCCGGACGCGTGGCCGGGCGTGAGCCGGGCGGGGCTGCCTGCTCACCGTGGCCCTGCTGCTGTCTCCGGGCAGGTGGTGTCGGCGCGGACTTGAATCCTCGGACATGTACATGGTTGGGGCACCCCCTCAACTGGAAACTGGCCTCAGAAGCCCAAATTTAAACATTCGGGTAAAAACTGCAGGCGCCAGTCTGAGCCCTGGCCAGGCTCCTCCGTGACCCTCTCCCCTGGGCGGGCTGGAGGCCCCCACCCTGCCTGGCGCTTTTGTTCTCTCCACGCAAGGTCCTGGGCCCCAAAGGCCACTTTGGTCCCGCCCCAGGGTGGCTGCTGTGGGGAGGCGAGGCCGGGGGCACGGCCTCGAGGCCCCGGAAGGTGGCAAGCCAGAGAGGAGGACCCCCGCAGGCGAGGGGAAGGAAAGCTTGCTTTATTCGGGGGTCCCTCGGCTCCATCTCGAGCCTGCCTCTACCCAAAGGTGGGCCACAGTGGTCATCTTTCTGGCTTACTAGAGGC